GGCCGGGGAGGGGAGAGCGGGGATGGGAAGTGAACGAAGCGGGGTTGTCCTCTAAGATCAAAGTCGTGCCGTGCTCCCACCCGTGTGTGACCTTGCGTGGGCGTCGGTAGCGCGTGGGTTGGGTGCGTTTGCAGTTTAGTGATCTTACACCACTGTGTTTTGGTTTGTTTTTGTTTTTTTTTTTTTAATTTTCCTTTAGGTCATTTTTCTTCATGGACTGGGAGATACCGGGTGTGTATTCTGATTTATTGCATACTTCATAGTTATTACGGTTTCAAATATAAGGCTGCCTGTTTTAAAGATGTGAGCGGTTAAAAGTTACTTAAGCTTCTTACTTTGCCCTTATTTGTCTGCAGTGCCTAACAACAGATGAAACTTCATGTATGCTGGAACGATGGTGGCAACTATTCGTTTAAAATTGCCCATCTTAAGTCCTTATGTGCTTTTTCTTTTCTCTTTTCAACCGCTTACCTAATTTGGTCTGAACGTGATCCCTCTTTTGTTTTGGAGTCAAACTTGGTGGTGGAGAAAGAAGTCTGTGGGTTTCTGATCTTTTGCTTTTCTGAGAGTGGGTTCCTGGTTATTCCAGCGCTTGTCTAAATGTAGAGGCTTGGTTTTTTTTTTTGGTTTTTTTTTTTTTTAACCCCTTGGACTTGTGGGTTGCTGGTTTGCTAGTAGGTGCGGTTAGGCCATGGTTTCTTCTTCAGTATGGCACACTTAACATTAAAATTCAGGCTTACTTGATTTATCTAAGCAAACTCCTAAGTAGTCAGCTAATGTCTACAGATTTCTCTATCTGAACTATGCTCTTTAGACTCAAAAACCCCCCCCCAACAAACAAGCTGTGAAATATCTTGTTTGCCTTCTTCCTGTTATTTCCACGTTTGAGTAGAAATGGAAAGAGTAGGGAATTTCTGAGAGGTGTTCTAGGTGTGTAATGTTTCTATTTGAAAGCTTGTGTGGGCCGAGATAGAAGCATATGTTCATTAAAGCCATTGAATTAACAAGTTAGGAGTGTGTCGAAAGCTTTTTTTGGTGGAAGACTTTAAAGGAATTGGCACTTAGGTACTGAAAATAAGTAGCATGAATGCTTTGTCTGTTTTACTCCCTAATGGGCAAAATTACATAGTAGTTTTTTAAGAACTTCGTTTTTGTTGCCTGGAAGTTGAGTGTTGCCTGTAGGTTGAAACTTGCAATGTTTAAGACATAAACTTTTACCAAAGAACTTAAAAAAAAAAAAAAAAAAGCCGTCAAAATTGAAACTTGCGTAACCTGGACACTTAGTAAGTTAAAAAGAGTCAAGTCCATGCACTTGGCAGTATTCTACAAGCGGAGATGTTCGCTCTCGGTTATTGTGCTGACACACCACCTTGTTTGCATTATCCCTCTTCCTTTCTGCTGGCAGGATGCAGCTGTAGCAGCAGTGCTTCGGGCATCTTGGCACCAAACGTTCAGCAAGTGACCGCAGAATCTTTTGAGTCTTTGGAATTTCAGTCCTTGCAAATCAGGTTGATGTTTGGTTTTGCAGGGGAGGAAAAAAAACACCCCACGGATACTTGCTCTTTAACGTAAATTGTATTCCTTATACAAATGTGGCATTTCCATTTTGGTGACAAAGCTAACATGCAGTCTGAAGCTTGCAAATGCACTGAGCGTGCTGGAATGTATGCACTAACAAGTCCGAACTCCTCTGTGGAAATACGGAGATGTAGCCCTATTTGTTCCTCTAGTCCACTGCAGATCAGATTAGCCAAAACTGCCTTTGTCTTGCTGCCATTTTTTTTCACCCAAAAGCCTAGCAGTGACCCAAAAAATAATGGTCTGAAGAGAACTAATTAAGAATTCTATAATTTCCCACAGTTTAAAGTGACCTGTTCTACTTCACGTGAATTTTTAAATTGCTCGCTTCAGTTTACCAACTGTATCTTTCTTACTCTGAGAAGTGTCTAACAGAGGTTACGTTCTTTTTCTCTCTTAGCTTCTATATAAGCGTCACTTAATGATTGGTACGTACTTGTCAAAATCTGGACTACAGGTGTAACATACAGGATTGTTCTGAAGAGTCTGCTTAAATGTGTACGCAGCATCGCTTTCCAAATTTTTCAAATTAATCCTTATATAGTTGGCTAAAAAATAATCCCCAAATTCCTACCTAACTAGCTTTTCTCAGTCACATTTCTCCTCTAGATTCTTATTTGGCCTCCTGTCATACTGCAAATATTAAGCAAGTAGTATCACCCACAATTTGTTAATGGTATATATAAAAGTATTGGTAGGAAGTAGGCTGAGATACGCAGCCAGTGTTTCAAATGTCTGTGTGTTTGAAACATCTTTAACTTTAGGGAGCACACATTAACTGCTCAGGATGATACTAAAATTAAAACTGAACCAAACATGCTTTTATGGATTGTCTCTTTGTCTGATTAGTTCAGCTGTGTCACTGATGAATTTATTACAGATGTTTTCTGCTTAGAATCAACTTTCCAATATCTAGTTTAGTGGGTGAGTTAGGGATACTGAATAATGTGGAAAATAAGGAAATACAGCTGCTATTGAGTGTTCTGGAATGCAAAGTGCGGGCACAGGCAGTGACTCTGCACAGATTCAGATTTGAGTCCAGCTTGGTTCAGGTCTAGGTGAGCCCTGGAGTGAGGCTTTTGGAGCTTTTTATTTAAATTATGCTTTTCATCTTTCTGGTTTGTAGGTAGCTGGGTAACTCATCGGCTGTGCAGATCTCGCATTGTTCTGTGCGTTCACACAGCATGTACTTGAGATTAAAAAGCTACCTGCAATCTGGAGTGTTGTTCAGGACTCCCCAAATCTGAGAGCATTTGCACTGAGCTGGAGTTAATAGGTCTGATGGATTAGGTTGGCTCCGTGTGGAGTTAGCTTAGATGTCAGTTTGCTACTCTCCCACATCAAGAAATTTGGTTCAGAAAAAGCAAAGTTGCCTGTGAAAGAAGCTGCCTTAAGTCTACAGGAGCAGCAAAGCAGCCTCTGGGCTAGTGCTGCCTGGAAGCAGGATACCTGTGTTCATACCTTGTAGCACCCAAGTTAGTAAACCCAGCCCAACACAGAGCGGGCTTTGCCTAGAGCCAAAGTGGTGCCTCTGCAGCTGTGCTGCGACTATGATAGTCAAATTAGATAAAGTGTCCCTGGCTGTATGTGTGCAACAAGTATTCAGAGGCAGAACAAACCTTTCAAGTTCAGTACTGTATTCATAGCATACTCCAGTTGATGTAAAAATTTTCTAGAAATGTGTTTATATTGATCTAATTCAGCATTTTTCATGCTGATTTCATGCTGTTGCACCAACGTAGAAATAAGAGCTAAGCCAAGGCGTAAATGCCATTTAATGTATTTTTTTGTTAACAGGCATGGATGGTCAGAAGCGCTTGCAGGTATCAAAAGCCCCCATGTAAAATACATTTGCCCACATGCGTAAGTTTGTAGCTTTTCTTGTTTTACATTTTTCTGTAGAGTTACTTATTAAGACACTTGCACAGATGATGAAGTCAAATGGGATTTGGATATCTCTGCATTTCGTTTTTATGTAAAAAAACCACTCTGAAATGATGCTGATGCTATTAAATATTTGGTTATTTTTAGGAACTGCTGTGCAATTTACTTTATGGCAAAACTGCATTTTTATTTATATTTTGCTTTTGTTACTGATTCAGACTGAAAACATATTTGGAAAGTTTTATGTGCAAAGTTAGATTGTTTTGACTTTGTTTTCATTGGATTGAGTTGTTTGTTGCTTTTCCCTCAACAGTCATTTGTTAAAAGCCAGCCTTAACAGGGAATAATTTTTTTTTTTATTTTACTGACCATTAAATATACTTTGTATTAGGTACATGTACTTCTTAAACTCAGGTGCATGTATAGTAGGTGAAATTTCCCTGTTACCTACAGCAAGTTTCAAAGATTCACAGGATATTAATATTTTCAGCAACTAATGCAATCTGAGCTGTCTTTGGGCCATTTGAGAAGTGAAATACTTCTGAGCAGGGTCAGGAGTCAGTAAATGAAGCATTAAGATCTACCTAGTATTTACTTAATGATAGAAAAACTAATTGAGTGTAACCTTAATTTATTTTAACACAAAATTCAGACTGTCTTTTGCTCCAGCAGTCTTGGGAGACATGGAGCAGGGATTATAGGGAGATAAGTAAGCCATGTTTTGTTTGGTGTATTACTGATTACTGGGCTGTGATTTATTTATTTATTTTACCACATGGCCACGCTTTGCTGAGCCATTCAAAAAGAGCTTAGCAATATCTGCTGTTCTTTTTGCTTGCCCTTTGTCTCCTTGCAGTCTTTCCCCGCAGAACTTACGTTCCTTGATTTCAGTAGATTAAAACCATAGCCGGATTTGATACACGGCATGGTCCACTGAAGTTGTCTTGGTATGTCTGAAAAGATGCCGTATGGCAGCGTAAGGGTGGGGATGAGTCCTGCAGTGAAGGCAGGCGCTGCTTAAGCAGATTCTGCTGTTGAGAGAAGCATGCGTGGCCAGACCCATATCCGCCGCTATGCTGCCTTTGGCTGCTTCCTTAGGTTTGCTGATGCTGCTGTGTAAGGTGCCATCATCCACTGAGCATGTGTATGGAACTGTGATAAATAACTGTTAACTTGGAAATATCTAAATGAGGTACATGTCTGTGTTATCTATCTATTTATATATCTAAATGTATATGCTGTATATGCACACACACACGCATATATATTTATATAAAGCAGCCTGTTAATGTTCTGCTTGCTCTCCATGGGAAGTGGTAAATCAGCTCTGAGTATTAAATGTGTTTGGGCTGGCAAGTTTCAAGAGAGATTTCTTGAAGAGATGCTGCAAAGCAGCTGATGTTAATTATGGTTTAAAAGTAAGACAGAATTAGAGACATGTAATTTCATGACATAACTGCATCTGCATTATTAAATTTCAGTATATATCTTACATCAGTGTTGTTCATTCTCATTTCTAGGCCAGTTATGCCAGTTTCTTTGAACATGAACATGGCTATGCCGTCATGGTGAGTATTTGTTCAATTGCAGATGATTCTAATCAAAAGATATCTAGTGGTTTGAACTCGTTGTTCTTAATTAAAAATCATGAACAACATGAATGCTAGTTTTAGTCGATGTAAGTATAAAAAACTTTCTGCTTTAGTTTTCTTCTAAAAGGGCTCTCAGAAGTACACTCTTAATTCCTTGTATATTTGTAATAATGGTTGTTCCTAGGACTAATTTGTAGGTCTTAAAATAAAAATATCCACTTTATTTTACAAGTATAGTCTGTAGTCTATATTGTGTGTGAATTCATAGTCAGTAGAGACTTGCAGTGGAAACATTACTGCTACTAGTGGTTAATATTTAGTGGGCCAGTAGGATATCTAGAAACTTTTCTTTAAAACGTCCATTCTGAATAGAAAGCAAGAAAAATATGGTAGATTTCAATAGTCTTAAACCAGTCCTCTTTTTTTTTTTTTTTTTTCCTCAAGTAACTTGTGTTTGCTTTTCCTGTATTTCTTCAAACAGAATTTTAATTTTGACCATGCAGCTGATAAATTGAAATTCTTGCTGATGTTTTTGGAGCACATATCAAAATTGAGCTGCTTAATCTGCAGTAAATTACAGAAGACTGCAAAACTCAGAAAAGCTTTGCTGACCAGATCTAGCCTTTTAGCCACATTCACAGATTGCCCACTATTTCCTGTAAACTACGGGTGGTTGGTACTAACTAATATGTCAGCTACCATTTTTATACAGAAAATATCTCAATTTTATTATTTGTGTTTGAAGGAGGTGGAATTGATGTTCTAATGAGTAATTCTCTTGTTGGTATTTTTGTAAGGTTTGATATTATTGGACTTTCTCCAGATTCACAGGAAGATGAAGTTGGGATCAAGCAGGCAGCGGAGAATGGTACACTTAGGATTACTTTTTATGGCTTAAAAGTACTTCTGTGTATTCTTAAAAATGAATTACCGGTCTGAAACAGATTTTACAAAGAGAAAATGGTTAGGGAAAGTAATATGTATATATTGTCTTATTGTTGATCAAAGTTTAGCTAAGTGCATGGTTTGTTTTGTGGGGGTTTTTTGTTTTGTTTTTTTTAAACTTCATGAGTAGGTAGAGTAATTCACCAGTACAAACACTTCATACTCTCAAGTATGAAATGTACATGGGAACCAGTGTAGTACTCTTGTACTTTTTTTTTTTTTTTTTTTTTTTTTTTTTTTTTTTTTTTTCTTCTTAAGAGCTTCTGAGTAGCACAGCAGATAAGAGCTGGACAAGCACTCACTTGTGATGCTGGATAGTTAGAAGGGAATGCCCTCTTCCTGCCAGTGGGGCTTTTGTGAGACTTTCTTGCATGTTTTTCTCTCTGGAAATGGTACAGTAGCACTGGAATTTCTGATCATGCTCTAGATCTTTTGATACTTTTTAATGTACAGCAGACTAGATTTTCTTTTCAGTACCTTCCTGTTGGCATCAGGGAGAAGGTCTCTTTCTTCTTCTAGACTTTCTACAGAATGGGGTGGTTTTTAACTACTGGCCTTTATGTTGCAGTTAAAGCACTGATAGATCAAGAAGTAAAAAATGGAATTCCTTCTAATAGAATTATTCTGGGAGGCTTTTCTCAGGTAAGGTGTGGTTGGAAAGAACAGTATCTCTTTCTAGGGAAGTAAACCAGACACTTGAATTGAAAAGAGCTGATGTTAGGTGCTTCTAAAGTTTTAAGGTGTCAGTTTTCCTTTGCCTTAACAAATGAAGTTCTTTAGTTTTACGCAAATAATTACTGTTCACTGGAAAATGAACATGCATGTGGGAAAAGAGTACTAAAATTAATGCTCTGTTTAAAGTCTTTATGTATGTAACTTATATAGCTTTGCTTGAAAGCCTTGCTAGTATTTTTAACCTAACTTTAATTTGGTAGACGTTTGATGGTCTGGATTTATTTGGAAAATCCTTCCCTTCACACTTGTAAGACATCTGTGGTAGGTAGTTTAATCGATTAATCGGTCCATACACCAGCTCCCCAGTCTGCATGCAAGTAAATTAATATTTTAAAGTAGTGATAATACTGTCGTGAGTGATAGTGCTTTATTTCATGTTTTGTGGTTTGTTTGGGTTTTTTTCCCAAACAGTTAATTTTGCTGTTTTACTTCTAAATTGATTACTGGACTTGGGGCTGGGGGAAGGCAAAATAAATGTTGTACAGAAATACAGATTTTGATATTGGTTTTAAGGAAGAATAGATTGGAATAGAAAAAGACCTTTAAAGGAGAAAACAGAGATTTTGAAACAAGCATTAAAAGGAACATTACCATCACCATTCTAATATTTATTTATCTTTATCTTAGGGAGGTGCTTTATCATTGTATACAGCTCTTACAACACAACAAAAATTAGCAGGTGTTGTAGCCCTCAGCTGTTGGCTTCCTCTACGGGCTTCTTTTCCTCAGGTATTTGTGTTTCTTTCCTAACCGAATTTGCACTTGGGGATTGAGTATATCTGAAGATTGTATCTTGTGCAGGAATTAGTGGCCATCGTTATTACTGAATATTGACAGTTGTTTGATAACTCAGAAGTTTTTAAAATAGGGCCCTGGAATTTGAGTTTGGCAAGTAGGGAAAATGAGGAAATACCCAGTAGCTATGTCTGCTTAAAATTACATTCCTAGGAAACTTAGAGGATACAGCAAATTTTCCTTGAAGATGAATTTTCTATTTGCCCTTTATTCAATCTGCAAGGCACTATCTTACTAGAGACTAGGTATTTAAACAAAGCGTTGGGTTCTTTATGTGGCCAGAAATCATGTTCTGCTCTGAAACTAGTGCCAAACTTTTATTTGCACATTTTTGAACTGGGCACAGAGCTTATTTCATAAGGAACTTGCAGACTCTGTGTTCTTTTTTCCTTCAGAATTCAACGAATTTGTCATGCCACAGGGCATAGTGCCATGGGGTTATTTTATCTCGAAGATGTTAGCCTTACCTCCACTTACTTTCCTGTCCTTCTTTTCTCCCCTCTAATTCCACCTCTAACAGGGCCCTATCAGTGGTGTCAACAAGGAGATTGCTGTTCTTCAGTGCCATGGGGACTGTGACCCATTGGTTCCTTTAATGTTCGGTTCTCTCACTGTTGAGAAGCTAAAGAGTATGATAAATCCAGCCAACGTAACCTTCAGGACTTACTCTGGCATGATGCATAGCTCGTGTATTGAGGTAATTTTCTTAATATGCAATATTTCAGCTGGGTATGGTTAACTTTTTTCCCTCAAAACAAATATGTATTGGGTAAGGGAGTTTTGGGGTTGTTTTTTTGGGTTGGTTTGTTTATTTGTTTTTTATAACAAGTGCTTGATGCTATTGACTTACTTTAGTGAGTAACTGAATGCCTGGCTGCAAAAGCATCCAAGGCAAAAGTTTATGTGACTAGTGGGAACTTCCTCATAAGATTGTATTTTTGGGACTAGGCTAGTTGGTCTATAAAGTACTCTTTTTTAATTTTTTTAATTTTTTTTTCTTCTTCTTCTTCTTCTTCTTTTCCTCTTTTTTATTATTTGCCTACTAAAAAAAAATCACTGAATTGGAAGGCAGAGTCTCACAGATAAATCCAACTTGTATTTTGGAGAGAAGAATCTTGTTAGTTCTATGGATGGAGACATCAAAGGAACGGAGAGGGAGGGTTAACACTACAGAAGAGGCAGCCTCAGAACCTGTATTTATGGTTCTGGCTCAGCAAGCAGCTGAGCTGATGTAATGGCTTGCTGCTGCCAGAAAGGGGTGGACTAGTTCCCTCTGCTCATGACCTTGTGGCTCTGTCTTCCTTCTTGCACCAGCTCTGGAGCTGATCAGAAACTTCTTTGAACCATTTGAACTTGCTAAAATGGCAAAAGCTGCTGGCTTCAGTTTTTGCAGCTGTAGTGAGTTGAAGCATTGGAACTCAAACAAAGTAAATGGCAGGAGCAAGAAGCAGAAGAGGAGGCAAGGAACAAGTCTGTCATTTGTCAGCAGCAGTAACTTAATTTGGATTGCTGCATCTTGTGGGAAGTGTACCCTTGGACAACATCTTCGGGACATTTACACAGTTGTATTGCGTTTAGGCAGTAACCGCATTGAGTTGTCACGCAAATATACTAACGTGCTCTTTCTTACAACATTGACTTAATTTAATTTTTTTTTTTTTTTAAATTATTCTTAACATGGATTGGTTTCCCAGTCTGGTTTGCTGTATTGCTTTTCGTTAAGGAAGGAAGCATCATGAAGATGAAACTGACTGGTTAGGAGGAGGAGCTGCAGGTTTTTCACACTGCTTGTGTGAAAACTTGCAAAAGTTTAAAGTATACCCAAAGCTATGGCCTTAGCTACTTTCAAATCCTGTCCATGTCCAGCCTGGTGCTGTTCAGACCACTTGATGATTGATATGTAGCTTGCCAGCTCAACCTGATAAGAGAAAAAGTAGTCTTTGCTTTTTCTTGTATTTTAGCCTCTTCTGAGTGCATAGTGCCTTGACTTGTGTGAAAAGTGGTATGATTTTATCAAGTAACTAATTACTCGATATTTGTAGCCCAGTTGCTCATTATGACTGAAATGTTGAAACATGATTTAGTGTAGCTGAATATGTATTAGTAGGGAACTTCAACTAATACATACTTTTATCTTTAAACAGGAGATGATGGATGTAAAGCAGTTCATAGACAAACATCTACCTCCTGTAGACTGAAATGATATGTGAGAAGCCTTCTATATAAATGCACCAGCATCAACTGTGGTAGAGTGTTAATCTTTTCATATGCCTGATAGGAAGCATTACTTCTATACCTGCAGTGTTACTACTGTGTTGCAAATTTATACTTAGGATGATGATTAAATGATACACATGTACAAGAAATCATAATCTTTTTAGTTTTAATCATCCACTGATGGGACTATATAAATGAGGCAGCTAGGTAACAATGACAGAATGTAACCTAGGCATACTGTTTTAAGACATCTGATTGGTTTTGATTGCAGATTTTAAACTATTTGTACAAGTAATTAAAAACTAAATTTAAGCGAGCAACATAAATGTAACCAGTTTAGTTATACTGGAGACATGATTTATTCTTAATACTCATTGAAAACATATTAAAACTTTTCCTTGTGTAATGGATGCATAAAGTACACAACATGAAACGTAGTGGGCATGTGATGGTAGAATAAATGTTACCAAGGACAAAGCTTTAAATAATAAATGTTAATTGTTACTCCAGATAAAGAGGGTTGTTCTAGAATGGCTAGGAGTCAGCAAAGGTATTTCCTATATTTAAATCACCTCAATTTTTAAGTGTTTTCATATAGGTAGATACTGTGGAAATGATAAAGGGACTTGTTCATTATTAGACTGCCATTTGTTGCTTACTGTCTTTTTTATTTCTATAAAATCACATTAAATGCTGACTTGGAACAGAATTCTGAAGAAGTGCATAGGATTAATTCAAGTTGCATTTAAAAATTCCTGGTTTTGTACTGAATATTCATCTTGTGCTTCTGTCTCTGTAGCTTTTTTTTGTGTAGAAATGTTGATATATTTCACATGAGTGATTCCAGCATATAGTTTTGATTTTTCTGTCTGCTTTGGAGTAACCAACTGAAAACAACACAGCAGTGTAGTATTGTGTATTGTTGAACTCTCATCTATAACACAAGCATTGACTAATTTGAATTATTTTTAAATAGAAATGTAAGTGCAATTGGGATATAACTTAAACTTCAAATTGGTACCATCGTCTACCATACTTTCTTTTAGTGCATATTGAGAATTGATTTTTTTTCTGAGAAAGAACAAAGAATTTTATTTTCAAATATATCATTCTACATTTCCCTAGATGAGTATAGCCTAGGAATATGAAGACGTACTTTTGGGGGAAAAAAAGTAAATCTACAAGATAGAGAATGACTCTTCTTTCAGAAGCTTAAAATTCTAGAATGCAGTGGGTTACAGAAGTTGATGCACGCTCAAGAGCCTTTTGCAGTTAAGAGCCATAATTTACTTCTGGAAACAGCTGTGCTTCTGTAGAGTTCAGAGGCTGTCGCCGCACTAGGAATGTTTGAAAAATACGCTACAGTTTTTGCTATATAATATGCTGCATAACAATGTTCTATACTAATAATAATGCTTGCAAGCAAAGAATATTCTTATTTTGGATGCATCTGTCTTGTCAGCACTGTGCTTCAGACCTGCTTTTAAGGTACTTCCTCCTCTCCCAGCTTAAATAAGCGGTCCTCTTGCAGTGTATATGGATTTACATCTGAGGCATCTGCCAGTGCAAATTCATAAATGGGGAATTATGCCTTCATATCCCTTCTCTAACGTTGCTGCTGCCAGAAAGCTGACTTGTTCACCTACCCTGAGTTCTCAGCTTTCAGTACTTTTTTCATACGTATTGCACTTCATTTTTAGGAAGCTGCTTTTCTCTTCTAATCCAGTTTCTCTGGGTTATCAAACATTTCTTAATATGTAAAATTGAAAAGGAGTTTTTTCTAAATGGTATTGAAACAGTTTTAGATATTCTGTCTGGGTGGTTGAGAGGGTACATCTATTAACTTTGAAGTTGAGTTACTCTTTTCCCTCAGTCACTCTGTTCTATAGATCTGCTAATTTGTCTTTCAGTTAATTTAGTTCACAGCAGAAACCATAATATTCTTACTGTAGTTGTGCCAAAGTTCTATTGAGAAAACAGTGTGTCCTAGCTTGGAGTCATTC